AAAAAAAAAAAAAAAAAAAAAATCGATTCGAAAGATGACCCAGATTTTCACTATAATATTCCCCCAAAGTTAAGTCGACCCCAATGCTGACCCTGGTTTGCTTTGAAATTTGATTCTGACTTCCTGCTTGGAATTTCTGATGCAACTGTATTGGCCATGGTTATCTGTGCCCTGTCTGAACAGATCGGTGAGGGGGAGAAACTTGTCAGGGCCCTCTTTGGGGTCGCAAGCTGCAAACAACCAGCTGTGATTTTCATTGATGAGATTGACTCACTCCTATCTCAGGTGCAGACGAGGATAAATTATGCTCATGCTTCTCCTCCTCACCCTTTTCCGTACCCTTATCGTCATTCTTTTATTTTATTTTTTACCCTTATCCTACGTTTCGACGTGTCCGATAGTGTCTATAGAGGCCAAAAACCCAAAAAACGCATGGAAAACGGTTTTAAAAACTCTGTTTGGGGGAGTGGTATGGCGTAAAAATGCCCCCACATAGTGACCCGCTGAGTCCCACTTCGGTTTGGGGGAGTGGTATGGTGTGAAAATGAACAAAACTGGAGCACCTATGCATATTGCTGCTGCAAAAAGTCTTCAAAAAAAAAAAAAAAAAAAAAAAAAAAAAAAAAAAAAAAAAAACATCCAGGATAGGCAACTACTGATCAGGGTGTAGGAGCATCTGTCCAGTTGGAGCCTGCATATTTAGATCTCTCCTTGCTGCTGCAGCAAATCTCTTTTTCTTTACCTGGTTCTGTTTCAATTTTTTGTTCTCATATTCTAATAAGAATCTGCAGATGATGCTGAGCCGAATATTGTTTGTTTTGTGCTGTGCATAACATACGAGATGACATACATAAAAGGGCCTTTACCCGATGCAGGCCTCAGGCCTTGTAAAAGTAAAGCAGCGTGAAAGGGTATCTCGCCAGGGCTCAGAAACGTGAAAGCAGGTCAAAGGTTAAGTTCTCTATCAACGGGCTCATCCAAATCTAAAGCAAAGGGTATTGCCAAAGGACTTACCTGTTCGCCAGGAGATGTGCATGTCATGTCTGTTCGGGTAAGGGTGTGTCTGTAC